GAGTGAGATGCTTCACAAGGAGAGAGATGTTTATAAAGCAATTCATGCTTCTTACATTTATTCTTGAGGTTCTCTCCTGGAGACCAAGTGTCTCAGTAAGTCCTCTGATCAGTTGCCACAAATGGAGTTGGAGTGTATTTTGCTTCCATCTATTTGATTTGTTCGTATGGGTGTGTTGCATGCCTTGTAGCCAGGGCCTGAATTCAGTAATATTAAATTTATCAGCAGGAAACAGCTGAGGCTGTACTACTACCCATCCCAGCATACAGTGACCTAAGCTGCATTTTCTGAAAGTTGCAAAACCTTTACAAAATCTTTCTGAAAAATGCCTAGGAACTTGTGGACCAAAGCTTAGCCATATCTTCCATGTTACAGAATATAAAACTGGAAGTAGTCATCAGGGTGCTAATGTAAGCCCTCCTTCTATGTAAGAGGGACAAATGTCTGACAAGCAATGTAGACGGGAGTATCATCAATGAGATACGTGAAATAATTGTTCCATATGCAGTGCTCATGAGACTTCATCTGAAGTACTGCATCCAGTCTGGAGCATTGCACTTCAAGGAAAATGTAGCTATTTGGAAAAAGTCTTTAGGAAATGAGCAGTAATGAACACAATCTAAACCCCATGTACCTCTAAGGGAAAACAGGACAAATGTCCTTGTCTAGGAAGGAGGGACATATGTACATATGTAAGCGGTATCTGTGAAGAGGAAGAAAATAATCTTTCTTCTGTGATAGGGCAAGAAGTAACAGACCGTAATATTAACTGAAAATATGTGTGTCTATGTATGTGTGAGTTAGGGAATTACAGACTGGAAGAGACTGTTTAGAAGGCTGACAATTCAGGCCAGTTTTAAACTTGAAAATGAAACTTCAGTGAATTCCTTAATTAGCAACACACTTTATGCTAATGGTTCATTCTCAGTGATTATCATTACTTATTACTTTATATACAAAACTGTTAGCCTTTAACATGTATTCCTAAATTAACTGTAACTATATAGTTCCATAGAACCAAATCTGTATAGTTAGCACTGCCAGCTACTGTCCTTGATGGTCTCAGCTGCAGAAGGATAAGAGGTAAGAAGAAAAGGATAAGGGAAGTCGGAAGTGATGCTGTCTTGTCTTCCATATCCAATGTCCCTTTTCATACCTGATGTTTTAATGCTGCTTTCACTCTCTCAGAAGTGGAGTCTCCAGCTGCTAACAGTGATGTTTCTCTTGTTATTTTTTCCTAACTCGCTTCTTGTGTTTTCAGCAGGATGCCTTGCATGTTTGCATCCCTTACACTTATCTTGTTCTTTGTTGCAACTTTTTTGGTACTTGGTTGCCTCCTTTGAGCAACTAACCACACCTTGTTTGCTTATTTGGTCGTCATGTTGCTCACATAGTGAAATGCTTATATGTATGTCTCCACACACCATCACATTACATACTGCTGTTAGTTATAGTGTTTTAGTACCTTTATATGTGGGCACAAGGAAAGTTAATGCTAATTATATCCTGATTAATGTGTTTGTAATTTATAGGTGCCACAAGCCATTTCTTTGACTACAGCAGATTTGTGAAAAAGAAAAAAAAATGCTGTTGATAGTTGCTATATACTGATTCATACTGCTCCCAGAGGCACTGGCTCGTCATCACTGTTAGACATCACCAGTAATGTTGTAGGTAAAGTTTACCCTGCCTTGTCACAGAGAGATGGACTAGGTAGCCTCCTGAAGTTCCTGGCTGTCTTGTCTATTATGAGCCTAGTTACCTAGAGGAAAGAAATTAATTTCTACTGTGGCTGAGAGACTGCATACTGTGTACCAGCCTGTGCAGGTTGTGAAGCACAGGCACTGCATGTAAAAACGACTGCTTCCTTTGGGTGAGGAGAAGGCCATCTAATGGTCTTATTGTTCGTTATGCCTTTGCCAGTATGTCGGTTTGCCACAGGCTGTGCACCATGGGGTCTTTCAGGGTTAAAAGCAGAAGAATGTGTCATCTTTTGTCCTTCCAATTGTTTTTTTGTTTTGTTTTTTTTTAGCTTTGGCTGCTCTGACCTTCTTTCTGTCTTCATCTTCTACACACAGGCAAGGTATACATCTTAGGAAATTACACCTACCAGCAGCTCCCACACCAGCAGGCTTGGCCACGGGAGACTTTTCACTCTTTGGCTGGCTGGCAGCGAGACACTTGTGTCATTGAAAGATTTTACCCCTACATCTTTCTTTGCTTTTCTTTTAATTCTTTTTTCAGCAGTTGGGAGACTATAGCAACACCAGACACCTGACAGTTATTGCTGTGAGATGAACAGGTTATTACAGGCAAAAGCCAGACAAGACGATAGGTGGAAGAGAGAAGAGAAGCAGAGGGGAGCCTGTGCACAGTGTGTATTAGAGAGCTCACTTTTCATTAGCACAGAAGCCAGTTTAAGGAAGCAAAAGCAACGGTTTTTCCAGCTTTACCTTTCTGTGTCAGACAAGATTTCTTTGAGTGCAAAAGGAAAATAGAAGTCTCCTTTCTGCTTTCACGGGTAAAATTTAAAATAGTTCCCTATTTATTGCAGCAGATATTTCAACTCTGTCTATTCCCTGTCTCTTTTTACTTCAGCCTTTCAGGTACTATTTAACTTTTAGAATTCAGAGCTCTTAAAAACAATTTCCCAGCTCTTCCACACTAAGAATTTGTGACATAAATGAAACGTTAGTTCTGCAGTGCTAATATTTAGCCACTAGTGTGTAAGATGCTGGACTGGAACAGGGCACCTTGGAGAGCTAAATCTAGATCTACAGAATAGATATGGCCAAGATGACAATAGGTCACACATCTTCCTCCGTGATCTGCTGGTATGCCTAACTTCTCACTGCTGTGAGAGTCACTCAAGGCAAGGGACTGCAGCAGCACACACCTAGGATGGTAACAGGCTGTTTGCCTTCACCTTAGGCTTGCCAGTATTGATTCCAACCACAGGAGGAGTAAGACACACATATTTTTGTTTCCATAAACATAGTAGCTACTTGCATTCCTCCACCAGTTGCTAGAAGTTTTGCTAGAGATGAATTTGGCTCAACATAAAATCAGGCTAATTGCAGAGTTGGTTAGAAAGTTGCCTACCTGTAAAAGGGGGCTGTTACAAAAGATGGAAATCAGTCTCAGCACATGCTACGGGTCACTACTATTTTATTCTGATATCCTCAGTGAAACGTAGATAGTAGAGATACTGAAGTGTGAATTCTGTGACAGAAATGTCAGGAACTTAAACCATCAGGCTCCTTTCCTTCATTGGTGACTCAATAACTGTTTAAGGTTGAGCGGTGGGCAACCCTGATTTCTTCAAACTTCCAGTTTCTGTAATCTTTCCGAGTCTAAACAAACCTTTGAGGAAAAAGTCACATTGCTCCAAAATGACACAAGAAGTAGAAGCAGGTTCTGTTTCTCGGCCTGACAAGATCTGAGCAGCTGCCAAACTGAAAGAAGGTAGATTTAGATTACGTAGCAGGATTACCTTTATTGTGAAGGTGGTGAGGCCCTGGAGCAGATTGCCCCGAGAAGCTGTGGCTGCCCCATCCCTGGCAGTGTTCAAGGTGAGATTTGACAGGGCTTTGAGCAACCTGGTCTAGTGGAAGGTGTCCCTGTCCATAGCAGGGTGGTTGGAACTTGATGATCTTTAAGGTCTCTTCTAACCCTAGCCATTCCATGGTTTTGTGATTGAACCCAACTTCTACTGAGAGTAAAAGGAATATATGCAGTTCCAGCCTTCCTGGAGGAAAGAGCTCTCTAGCAGCACCGGATCAGTTTTGTGTTGTGAGATATATCTGCCTGATAGGCAGACTAGAGCCTGCTTAGCCCTCTTTGATAAACTATCCCAGAGGTAGACAAAGGTGTTTGTGTGAGAGAAGGAGAGATGGTAGCTACTTGAGTAATCAGAGCTCCTCATTATGATTGAAGTAAACCAAACCTCAGCATCCATCATTTAGCACAAAGCACATTCATAATTACTGATCTTGTAGGTGGTCCAAACTGTGAGAAGAATCTTCTCTTAATTTCTGATATAGCTTTAGAAGAAAGGAAGCTTACTGGTGTCCTGTGCAGGTAGCCAGGGGTATCTGCGGCACATTCAGAGATCTTTGAATGGAAACTTACAAGCCTATGGATGAAATCAGTTGCGTTAGTGTTCCTGTGTGAAGCTGCTATTGCTAGTGTCTAAGCCTTTCCATTCTCTTAGGTTCACAGACTAGCAGACTTACACCAAAAAAGGTGCCATGTGCTCACAAAACTTGTCCAGCAATGTTGGCTCATTCTTTTCCAGCAAGTCTGTAAGCTCTCTTGGGAAGGGCCTCTACGCTTCGGTCAGTTTACATAGTGCTGAGTACACTGGATTGTCCTTTATACGCACATTCTAGTAAACAGGGGCAATTCTAACATGTTATTGTCAGTTTGCAACAACAAATTCTGACATTGCCTCTTGCCCAGTTGATCACTGCCTATCAAAAAGAGATATATTACTGTATCTGTGTGTGTGTGTGTCCACTTGTTCTTGCTTGTTTCCACTAACATAGGACTATAGGTGTGAAATTTCAGAAAATGAAAGCCTGAACTTTGCAGGATTTCTGGCCCTTAAATTGGACACCTGACAGAACTGAGTTTGTCCTCTCATCTTCTGTCAAAGCTCTCGGTGGTTACTGTTGCTTTTGGCTAATTTACTGCTAGCCCAGGGTAACTGGTTGTAATCAGCTTGCATTTTACTTTTCACTAATGAACATCAAGGGTCAGATCTTCCTTCATGGTTGTCAGTCTACTGGGTCTGTTGAATTTACTCACCCTGATATGAATGAGAACAAAACAAGGTTCCAAAGCTTCTGTATTAGCTGCTTGTGGCAAACTGTGGTCCCTTGGAGCTGAACTGAAACAAGAATTAGACCTGCCCTATGTCACTGGTAACACATAAGGCACAGGCCTGAACTTCTGTAGGTAACTGAACTTACTGAAGGCTAAAGGAAAGCACAGAAGTCTGAGAATAGGTTGCTCTTTATTTTCAAAGGTACAGAATAAAACCAAGAACTACAGGGACTGCAGCTCATTTGTTACACGCAGAAAAAGTACTGCATAGCAGCAACTGTGTGCATGGTCTTCAGCCCTGGCCTGGAGCAACCCTTCCTTTTCCCTCTGGATCAGCAGACACTAATAATTCTTTGGTGTTGCTGGGTCTTACCTGCCTCTTGAGGCTGCCTGCAGAGAAGCAGTGATGACAAGGACAGTGTGGCACCAGGGACTAGTCTCAGAGCAGTTAATTCTGCTGGCAGGACTGAGGAACTTACCAGCTTTTCGGTCACAGTGTTTAAAGTAGCTTGCTAAAGACAAAGGTGTCTATATGCCAGTCCTAAGCTCTCTACAGCATGCAGTCCCCTCAGGTTTATTTTATTTTATTGAAGACACTATTTTAAGATCATAAGCGGAACCTGTTCTTGCCTTCCTTGTTCTTGGAAAAGTACATTTGAAAAAAAAGAAAAGAAAAAAGAGACTGTTTTGAACCTTCGGAGAAACAGTTCTGTTTGGGTAAAGCTCTTCAGTGACAGGCTGCTCTAGCTGACCTTATTCTCTTAACCTTATTATATGGCAATGCACTAGCTAATGCTGTACTTAGTTTGTGCTGGGTGGAGCCAGTGCTGTCATCTCTGGCAGTCACCCTGTATTACTAAAAGCTAATGGTGATTCCCCTTTGGATCCAGTTTGAGATCTGTGATTTTAGAGCAGAGCTGACTTTTCCAGTTCTGGGTGCAGCAAAATAATTAACAACTAAGATTTAATGAGAAATATAGAGAGAGTTGTACTTTTCCTGGGCTTGAAGCCAACTGGCTCTCTTTCTGGGATTCTAAAACTCAGAAACAATTGCTTTATTATTTCTCACTTCTACAGAATATGGTGTCCCTCTGCTCTTTTAGTAAAAGAAAGAGCTATGTAAGAAACAAGACAATTTTTCTCTTATCTGTGGGAAGCAACTTATGATAAGAACCATCATCCTTTAAGGTAACCATCCCAGTTCTGAAGATTCAAGGGCATTTAGACTGTATGTTTACCCGGATGAAATAAACTAATAGGAAAATAACAGTTCCTCTTTTGGAGTAAATCCGGTGGGAATAATGTTGCTGAAACTTCTAACTATAAACTTTCCCTTGCAACCCAAGAGGGGAAACTGCAATTGAAATCTGCCCTCTTCCTGCAGTAGTAGTGCTAAATAAATGAGCCACCTGTGAATTACAGGGTAGTAAATACATCCACTGACACCTAATAAAGCAAGGCAGAGTAAAGTTCCAGCACTTTATGGTGTCACCAGAACCCTATGATGTATTTATAGCCAGCTTCCCAGTTTTTTATGTTGTGCTCCTACAGTTTGGCTTTCTTGGCCTTTCTCCTTTTTGTCTAGGGCGGTTTACCCAGGACAGCACACAGCAGCTGTTTCTCCTGTTGAGGGATTCCTAGGCATTTTCTGTCTCTGACCAGGGCAGTTTGAAGTGATGCTCATCCGCTTTGTACATCCCCGGCACCTAAGCTGGTACCCTTCTGTATGTGGGGAAGGATTGGTGGAAGACTGAATGAGGAAAACATCAGTGATTTGTTTTGGAGCTTGGTAATTTATTGTTCATTAAGGGCTGTGCCACCTGCAGCAGCCAAAGAGGTGGCCAGCATGAGCAGGGGCTCAAGTACAGAGAAGAGTATGTGGTTTGACAGACTGTTAAAGGGGAAGTAAGAGCCCAAGGATGCTACCCTACCATACTTCACTCAACAAAATGTCCCTCCTTTTGGTTTTTGGTTTTTGTTTCTTTTCTTCCATCTTTCAGCAACAGGGCAAATAGTTGCAGCAAAGTGGCAAGGAATGTATCCATGAAGTTCTTCTGCTCTTCCCTCTAGAGCAGTGCTTCCTAAAACACATCCACTTCCATACAAATGAATGAGTTTTCCACCACTGCCTTCTGGAGAAGCAGCAGTAAGTCCTCAATGTTTAGATCTATAGTCCATTTTGATCCTGTAATGTTTGATATGTTTGGTCCTTTTTTGTGATGCTTTAGCCAGAGAAAAAGTAAAATGATGGGAGGCAGATCACTGGTGCATTGCTGATAAATAGGTGGGTCTGAAATGTATTCAGAAATGTATTTACAAACAAGCTTTTCAGTGACGTGTATTTAGTACATATCCTTTCCCCTACATCAAGCCCCCCTATAGTTTAACTACACAATAAATATTTTAGAGTACTTTGTCTGTGAACTGGGTTAAAGTTAGGACTTCTGTGGTGAGGGATTCAAGGTGGATGCTAGCAACATCCTCATGGGTCAGCCACATTGCAAGAGTGACATGCCAGGTTATATTCTGCCTCTTCTCCCAAGCACAGTTAGGAGCGGGAGGTGGCTTCCTCTTGAAGTTGGGATCCTTCTGGATATCTCACCAAATACATGTCAGCAACTCCAGCTTCTTCAACAAAACTCAAGGCCAGGAACCGTTGTCTTGCAATGATAAAACTATTCTGTGCTCTATGCATAGGACTACAAATCTACCAGCCAGCAGGCACCAGCACCACAGGACACTCACCCCTGTCTCCAGCTGTGAGCCCTGCTGGGAAGAAAGCTAACATTCACACTTTAAGGCTAACAAATGGCCACCAAATCAGTCAAATGTTTATACTAACAGCATGTACTGTTTACGATAAAGAATCTCTGTGCCTGTTCTGTTCAGTTCCCATGTCTATCAGTCACTAACTGGCCCAATGCCTCTGAACCGCCATTTCCTTTTCTGCAGAATGGCAAAGTAATACTTAAAGGTGCTGAATGGCTTCATTTATAAAAGATTTTATGGCACTCTGATATTCTTAGGTGGCAGATGCTGGATAAATTTGAAAGTAATATTCTTGCTTTCCAGCTTTACCATCTGCAATCATTGATTAAACCCAGCAAAACACTGAGGTATTTCTGACTGCACTAGCCCTTGATTTAGATCATTTTTAATGTAAGTTTCTGGAAAATAAATTGCAAGCATATCAGGCTCAGCTAGAAGTACTAGGTGTGCAGCTCAGGCTGATCATTACAAGTTACTGACATACTGTACCAAATCGAGATCGATGACTGAAAACATTGCATCTCTGCATTGGGGAAACACTTGCGAGAGGTTTCAAAGGCGTGCGCATCTGTGCACACCTACAAACGTGTCTCTGGAGGGGAAAACAAGGAAACTTAGTCATAAACAGTTTATTCTGGTTTGAATGACTAAATGAAGGAGAGGGAGGCAGTGCAGCACAATGCTAGGAGTCCTGGGGCTGGCTGACTCCTTTTCCAAAGCTCCTTATTGACTCTAGCGTAAGTCACTTCACCACTGATGCCTGGCTTCCCTGGTGCGGCTGGGGAGTTCTGCCATGCAAATTGATAGGCAGTAAATTACTAGATAATGCAGCTGCCTTTATTTATTAATTTATGGGCTGCAAACTCTGGCGGCAGTCCTTGCTGTCCAACGATTAGGTGCAAATACCCCTGGTTGGACTCAGACTACTATTGCAGGAGCGTTAAAATAAAAAAAAAAACAAAAAAAAAATTAGGAAGAAGTTTTTCACTATGACGGTGGTGAGGGCTCGGCACAAGTTACCCGGAGAAGTTGTGGCTGCCCCATCCCTGGCAGTGTTCAAGGCTAGGCTCGGTGGGGCTTTGAGCAACCTGGTCTAGTGGAAGGTGTCCCTGCCCATGGCAGGGGGGTTGGCACTGGATGAGCTTTAAGGTCCCTTGCAACCCAAACCATTCTATGATTACTATAAAAGCAGTATGGGGTTTTAATGAGCACGGTCTTTCCCGGTTCTCACTTCGCTCCTGTGCAGCTGCGGCCGCAGGACGAGCACGCGGAACAGGTCGGCGCGGTGGGGACGGTATTAATTAGGGGCGTCCCTGTAGCATCGAGAGGGCCGGTAGCGGTTGCATTTCTCGCTCCCGGCAGCACACACTCTGAGGGGTGCCCATAGAAAGCGGGCGCATCCCGTTCTCGCACGGAAGGAGCGGGCGCAATTCCCCAGGGACCGCTCTAGACGGACAGCCGCCGCCGCCTGAGCGGCGGTGGATGCCGGGCGCTTGTCCCCCGTGAGGTGCAAGGCGTTCCCCTTAGGGAGCGGGGAACTCCTTTACTAATAGTTTTGGGGTCCGGACTGTTTCCCACTGCTGGCAGCAGCAGTGCTGCCGCCATAGCCACTACCACCGCTACCGCCGGGCTCGCCAGGGTGGCCTGGCCGAACCGGGGCCGGGGCCCCGACGCCCCCTCAGAGGGCGGGGGACGGCCGGTGCGTGTGCAAGACACCGGCGCATGAATGGCGGGGGCGGGGGCGCCCTCTAGCCCCGCCTCCCGCCGGAGCCAGCCAGTCCCTCTGCGGAGAGCTGCCGCCGTGCTCATTGGCTCGCCGCGGCCGGGATATTTGCATACGGCTCGCCCATTCGCGGAGCAGCTTCCCCGGCTGCCCAGGCTGCGCTTCACCTGCGCGGCGGAGTTGCCCGCACTTGGCGCGCCGGCCGCCAGCATCCCGCCCCCGGCTCCGCTCGCTCCGCGCCCCGCTCCCGGAATCGCGCCGCCCGGCCCCGGCCTCGGCCTCTGCTCCGCGACCAGCCGTCCGGGAAGACGTGGTGTTGCCCTCCCCGGCTGCGCAGGGTTAATCGGCTTGAGCCCTCGGTCGCCTGGATCCGGTGGAAGGAGGATAACAATCCAGATCTCTGTGTGTGTGTGTGTGCGTGCGCGCGTGTGCGTGTGCCTACCAGTTCTGCATTGCAACATTTGCTAGTGGAGAAGCAACAGAACCCCCTGGAATTAGGATAAAAAAAGAAATCAAAAAATCTACCTGGGGTTTCTGGCTTATTTCTTCTTTTTCGTTTTCGATAGTCCCTCTCAGCAAAGTGAGAGACAGAGATCGCAGGCAGGGAAAAGTCCTCAGGGACCCCGTGATCCTGGAGGAACCTGACCAGTGCAAGCTCCGGGACCCCCGCGTTGACATGAGCGGCTCCCCTGCGCTCTCCTGGAGGCTTGGTGCTGTCGTCGGGTTCCCAGCACAGTAGATCCAGCCCTGGGAAACGGCGCGTCTTGTTCTTCTGTGTGTGGTTACTAACCTTTCCCCTCCCTCCCCTTCCCTCCTTGCACTCGCTGTCTCGCACAAGACACTTACTGTCTCTTTGCCTTTTGAAAACGCCCGCCCGCCCTAGAGCCTCGGAAGCGACTCTCCTTTCTGCTAGCATGAGTCCCCTGGCATCATGAACCTCATTCTCTCTCTCTGGCTGGAATTCAGACTGCCCGTCTATAGGTGTCTTGTGCCTTGACCATGCACCTGAGAATAGACCCCAGCATTTGCTCGGGACGCCGCCCCGCCTGGACCCTGTGGATGTGCTCCCTCTTTTGGGGATGTATCGTCAGCTCTGTGTGGAGTTCCTCTAACCTGGCTTCTTCTGCCTCCTCTTCCTCGTCTGTATCTCAGGCTCAGTATGAGCATCACTTCCACGGCAGCAAGCACCACTCTGTGCCTGTCTCTATCTACCGCTCCCCTGTCTCCCTCCGAGGAGGACACGGTGGGTTCTCACTCTTGTTTCTTTCTAACCCTTTTGCAGAGCAGCTGGAGCGGCAGAGGGGGAACAGGGACAATGGCTGTGACTCCGGGGTGGGGGGGTGGGGGGGAGGTGTCCTCGCAGCCTCTCATATTTCTGCCGTTAGCTCCCGTCCCCATTAACTCCGCTTTCTTCCTCTGCCCCCTCCGCGAGCAGAGCTGGGGGTTGAAGACGGGCCGCTTCCAGAGACAACTTCCCCCCCCCGGCGTGCTCCAGCGGGACGGAGTTGGGGGGTGCCGGTGCGGGCTTGGGCCACTCCATCCAGGGGGCAGCGCTGAGCAACTCGGGGCGGGCAGAGGTACACCGGCTCCCAAGTCCGCTGGGGCTGGGGGTCCTCCGAGAGAGCATCACTAACTCCCTGGCTTCCGTCCTTGACGGAGTCGTAGCGGCTGACATAGTTCTTGCAGCGGCGCGTCTTCCCCGCCAGCCGCCCCGATGCGGGAGGGCCCTGACCTGCTGCTTGCTTTCTCACTCTTAGCTTTCCTGGGTGAAGTTGTCGGGGGGCTCAGGGTGCATAAAGGAAAAGGCGAGGTCTCCTTACAGCTGCTCCCGGCTCCCTGCTTAGTGCCTGGCAGTTGCTTCCCAGGAAACCCAGGGGCAGGAAATAGTAGGGAGTACGTTTCCACTCGGGCAGCAGGGAGAAGGGAAAGAAGGGGTCTGAGGGACCCCACGGAGCAGGCGGACACCTGCCAGTATCTTGTCACTGAAATGCTGAGCAATGCTCAGCAGCTGGACCAGCACTGTCTCTTGCTCAGCTCTCCTGAATCTGCCCGCCCTGAGAGGAGTTGGCCCAGGTCTGGCTGACATGGTAGACACCCTCATCTCCACTTTCCTCTCTCCTCTGTCCTGTGTCCCTTGGCTTCAAGCACATCAAGCAGGCAGGCCAGGGCCTGACACTTTCTCTGCAGGGCTGGGTCAGCTTTGGCCTTCCATCATAGGAGCACTCACCTGCCGAAGCACATCTGTGCAGGACCAGAAGAACCGGTGTCAGAAATGAGGGAGAGGACCACTTGCAAGGAGAGGGAAAGGGAGGGGAGAGCCCTGGGACAGTTGAAATGCTGCATGACATGGCTGCAGTAGGTGCTAGGAGGATGTACTGGCAGGGCTGTGTCACTGTTACAGGGATATTGAAAGCTGGAGTGTCACAGATAAATGCTTGGATGACCAGCAGAGCAGTCTGAAGAGTTCAAATGGCACAGTAATGAATGGACCTCCAGTTAAGGCTATAGGTACACTAGCGGAGTTGTAGAAGGAGCCCAGTATTGCAGGTCTGAGCTGAGGTGCACTGAAGAGGGAACAGGCGCAGGAACAAAGCCAAGAGGCAGATGCTGTGGGTCACAACTGAGCACCAACAGAGCAGGGCTGCTCTAGCAGGAGGTGCTTTGGCAGAGCTGCTGGAGGGCACAGGAAGAGGGTGGTGGGAGCACAGCAGGGCAGGTTGACAGTGCTCTAATAGTGTGGGAGGGAGAACCCAGGGCGCTGCAGAACAGTACTCTGCTGCAGAGGGCTCAGGACTGAAATGGTGCTGGGTAAAACAGGTCGAGCTGGAGGTGCACAGCCAGTTCTGCAGGCACAAGTGGCATCAACCTGTCAACCTATCGATTTCCCACTTCTATCCCAAATTTTACATTCACCCCAAAAAAACAAGATGAACACATTCAGGCCCCACATGGGAAGGGAACCAGTGCCATGCCAGACATCAAGACCATCTGTTAAGCACCATCCATGTGAGACTCAGTAATGGCTTATTAATCATTAGCAGCAGGAGCCTTGTTATTTGCAGCAATACTCAAGGACCATGTGAGAGAGTCCTTACTGTGCTAACATGAGGGATGTGAGGGATCAGCCAGTCCCTGCCCCAAACTCTTTCCAACAGCTCAGCTTCTATATCTGAGTGTTCCTATGATGGAAGGAGGTAGCAAAATCTGACTCATAGGTCACTTGTGAGGAGAGAGAAGGATGTCACAAAATGTGATAGTGGTTAGCCTTGATGTAAAATCAGGCAGTAGTCTGCAGGAGAGTCCACGGTCTGCTTTCTGGTCAGGAAATGGTAGTTCTTTTCTCCTTGATAACTTTTCCATCTGTCCTGAAAGCCCAGCAAAGCCTCATTTAAGAGCCCTGGGCAAAAGCTGTTACAAACTTCAGTGAGAAATGGGCATTTTTCCTATGTTCTCATTGCAGTAAAGAATCAAGGGAAATGGAGAGGTTGGGGAGCTTAGGCTGGTACATAAGGCAGCCTGGTATTTTTTTTCCTTTACTAATCATGCCATCCAGCAAAGCTGGCATGGAACCCCCCTTGGCCATGAATAAGGGGAGAGGGGGAGGGAAAAAAGAGACCACAAAGACAGCTGGTCCT